TAAAATAACAATGTAAAAAGTAAATTACAACATGTTATCAATACCAAATCTCAAATTAACATAATATTTAAAGATAAAACTATTAAAAATTAATGAAAGAAAAAATAAAAAAAATGAAACCATGTTTTTTAAAATGATTTCTTTATTTGCAATCTCTTATAAATAATAAAATTGAATGTTTTTAATTTTGTTTTTTAAATCAAGCATCAAGAAGATATTTTTTTAGACTGCAATAATCATATAAAAAGCAAATTATTAAGGCAATAGTAAATTTATTTTTAAAAAATCAATGAATAAATAAATAAAAGTTATTAAATCTAAAAAACAAAAATAAATAAATAAAAATATTATGTGAATTTACATTAATGCCTCCCCTCACAAACTGCAATGAAAAACCGATGCTTTTAAATTTTTATTCAATTAATAAATAATGCCTAATCCTTTGAATCTTCCAACAATACTTTCACTTTTAGCAATACTTTCACGGGAAAGGTGAACCTCTAATCCCTCATAATCCCTCATAGTTCTATTATTATATAATTTTGTAAAATTGATCAATATTGATATTTATAAATGAGCATGGATAGATGTATCCAGCAATAACTTTTTTAAAAAAACTTTTTTATTGGATACATATAAGGTAAAGATATGGAAAGCGAGCAACCACCTAAAATATATGTATATATGTTTACACATCTAGCACTCAGAGGAAAGGTTGCGAATAATAATTAATGATTATTTAAAAAAAAAGAACTTATTAATTTTTTTAACTCTGTTTGGGAAAAAAAATAGAAATTGATTTGCTACCTCTAAATATTGCAATAAAAAAATAATATATAATTGAAGTGAAAATATCAAGCTTAAATTGAGAATGATAAAAAAATTGTTTATGTTGATATGTGCAGGTGGATCTGTGACAGAGAAGGTAAAGATATACCCATTTGCCTCATTGTTTAAACCCCATCCAGATAGATTTCCCGCTTCTGCAAGAGCTCCTCTCCACTTGTTGACCTTCTCCGTTTCTTCCTTGAAGCGTTCTTCATGTTCATCAAAAGCTTTTGCATAACTCCCGGTCTGTTTTCGGACATCTGAAGGCTCCGTATCATAGAATATAGGAAGAACAACCTGGTCAATTTTTTGCCTGCACTCAAGAATCTTTACAAGTTCGTCAAGACACCATCTAGAGGAAGCGTAGTGTTTGGAGAAGACCACTATGGAAATCCTTGATCCTTCGATTGCCTTGAGAAGTTGTGGAGAGATTTCTTCTCCTCTAGGAAGTTCATTGTCATCCCTGAAAGTATGAATTCCGGCCTGGATTAAGGCGGTATAGAGATGATCCGTAAAGTTCTTGCGGGTATCTTTTCCTCTAAAACTTAGAAAAACATCATAGTTCCATCTATGTCTAGAGGATGAAGACGAAGAAGAGAACGGAGACTCAGAGCACATGTAAGCCATAGCTGGGACAGTTTTATCAATCTCTATAGCAAATTGGAAAGTAGGTTGAAGAGAATGGATAGGAGTGACGTTAATTTGCTTGTTATTTTCTCATAAATTTGAAGTCCTTTGCAAAGATGATAGATATAATAATTGTGGAGGTTGATGAGAAGTTCAGTGGAAATTGGGGTCGAGCAGGTCAGTGCAGCTGTGTTTGTCCCATAGCCCTTGGCTATAGAGATTCCCGTGTTAAATAACATTCTTTGAAGACCGTAAAGTCATAAAAAGTGGTAAAAAAAAGTTACATGCATATATATAACTGCGTGTAGTCAAATATTTCAGACGGAATGCTTGCTCCAAGTGCATACATATATAATTGTGTAGGAAAATCCACACCTGTGCTTATCTATATTTTTGTTAAATTTTAGCTAAAATAACTACAAAATCATTTTAATAACTAGCTAAAAACAATAATCACATTCTCTTTAAAAAAATATTTCAGGATTATTTTTAATTTTCAAGATATAAGAACAATCATAACTACTCAGCTAAACCATTGAGATTTAAAGTAAAGGAGCAAATCTGAAACTTGAAAGCATACCAAATCACCTTCAGTGCTAATTGTACACTGTACACTGATCTCACTAGATTTAGCATTAGTAATAGATGCCCCTAGAGAAGCTGTGGAGAGATTTCTTCTCCTCTAGGAAGTTCATTATCATCCCTAAAAATATGAATTCCGGCCTGGATTAAGGCGGTATAGAGATGTAAAATTCTTGCGGGTATCTTTTCCTCTAAAACTTAGAAAAACATTACAGTTCCATATTCTATGTCTAGAGGATGAAGACGAAGAAGAGAACGGAGACTCTGAGCACATGAAAGCCATAGCAGGGACAACTTTATCAATCTCTACAGCAAATTGGAAAGGTAAGTGCAAGAGTATGGAGAGGACTGAGGAGTGACATTTGCTTATTATAAATCTTCAAGTGCATGTTGAAGTAAACTCAATCTAGAAAGTCAAGGAAGGCAGCCACCAGCTGTCACCGCTCAGCCACCAACCGACTAGCCACCAGCCGTCAGCCGCTTTCACACCGTCGGCCACAAACCGCCTTCACATTTGAAGGTTGAATTTTCTTGTTTTGACTTCGTATATAAATAGATAGCTAAGCTTATGCAATTATGTGTGGAGAGATTGAGAGAAACACTAGAGAGAAAGAGAGAAAGAAAGAGGGGTTGTTATTGTAAGCTTTTCATTATTGTAAGCTTGTTGTTCTTGAAATAAAAGAGTGTGTTTTATCCCCTCCGAGTGTTTCAAAGCCACCACAAGTGGTTTCTCCCACCAACAATTGGTATCAGAGCCTCGTTCTTCAGAAAACAGAGGTATTTTTGGGAAATATCCGAATTTTCAAAGTTGTCAAAAACAAGTTTTGATCATTCCAAAGTGTAGAGCTCATCAATACGAACTCATCGGTGTAAAAATCAGATCAATCAGAGCACAGCGTGGACCACACTCTCCGTCTGAAGTTCAGCACTGTAGCCCACGCGCCTCGAGGAAGAAGACGAGTGAGCCACACACGCGCCATATTTGAGCCGCGCCGAGCCAAGCCTCAAGCCGAGCCGCGAGCCATATTTTAAAGCCGAGCCGAGCTCCAAGCCATATTCCAAAGCCAAGTCAAGCTCCGAGCCATATTCTGAAGTCAAGCCAAAAAGAATATTCCTTGGAATATTCCTGGTTCAACCCAGCAAACCACCCGAATTAGTTTTTGGACTAGTTCGCCCCATTTTGACCCGTTTTCTACAAAGTCAGACCAGTTTCCTACTATTTGGACCATTCCGGATCCATCTACGATGTCGGTTTTGCCAAATTCAACTCCCAAAAAGGTGATATAGTCATTTAAAGAGCAAAATGACTACAGAAAATGCACAAACACTTATCTCGAGGCTAACCAAAGACAACTATGATAGTTGGTGCATCAGATTGAAGGCATTCCTTGGTTCATAAGAGTGTATAGAAATTGTGCAATATGGTTATGATGAACCAGAGTCCAAAGAATCAGAAGATGCTTTACTAGAGGTATAGAAACAAGTCCTCAAAGTCAATAGAAAGAAATAAACAAAGCAAAGACCATCATTTATCAAGGTCTTGATGAAGCGACATTTGAAATCATTGCTTCCGCAGAAACATCAAAAGAAATATGGGAGGCTCTCCAACAAAAATATAAAGGTGCTGACAGAATAAAGAAGATTCGTCTCCAATCTTTGCGAGGTGAATTTGAATTGTTACAAATGAAGTCCTCAGAATCCATTTCTGATTATCACACAAGAATTATAGTGATAGTCAATCAGATGAGAAGAAATGGAGAAGCCCTTTCAGATGCTCGAATTACTGAGAAAATTTTGAGATCCCTAGATCCAAAATTTGATTTTGTTGTTGTTGTTATTGAAGAGTCCAAAGAAGTGGACAAGTTGATAGTGGATGAGCTTATGAGTTCTTTGCAAGCTCATAAGCAGAAGATTGTAAAAAGAAATGGAGATAAGGCAATTGAGCATGCCTTACAAGCAAAGTTGTCTCTCAAAGACAGATATGTGCAAGGGGAGACTTCAACAAGTGGATACACCACTTGAGAAAGAAGTCAACAAACACGAGGAGGATTTCAACGATTTCAAGGTAGAGGTTCTTGGAATACAGGTTTTAGAGGAAGAGGTGGTAAAAACACCACTAGAGGAGGTCGAGGACAACAAGCATTCACTCCTAGAGGAAGAGGAGGCGGTTACAATAACCGTGAAAAGAGGAATATTTAGTGTTATAATTGCAATCAATTTGGCCACTATAGCACTGAATGTCAAAAGATAGCTCCACTGATACGTGAGCAAGTCAACTATGCAGAAGAGGATGTCAACAACAGAGGAGCAGTTGCATTATTTGTCCAACAAGGACTTGACAAGAATCAAGAGAATATTTGGTATCTTGATTCTGGAGTCAGGAATCACATGTGTGGCCAACGAGATTTATTTGGTGATCTAGATGAGACCATACAAGGTTTTGTCACCTTTGGAGATACGTCAAAAGTTCCATTCAAAGGTAAAGGCAACATCCCAATCAAGTTGAAGAATGGCGATCATAGCTACATCGCCGATGTCTACTATGTCCCAGACATAAAGCAGAACTTGGTGAGTATAGGTCAACTTCTGGAGAAAGGTTATACACTTTACATGAAGAATTGTCATCTGACAATTACAGACTACAATGGGAGATTAATTGCCTATGTGAAAATGTCCAAAAATAGGATGTTTTCTTTAAACATCCAATATGATGCAGCAAAGTGTTTGAGTGCCATCACCAACAGTGAAGAATGGCTTTAGCACCTGAGGCTTGGACATCTGAATTTCACAAGTCTGAAGATGCTAGCAAGCAAGAAGATAGTTAAAGGTATGCCCCACATTGATCATCCAGAAAAAGTCTGTGAGAGTTGTGTTCTCAGCAAACATCACAGATCCAGTTTTGGCAAAGAAGTCAACTGGAAAGCAAACAAGCCACTAGAGTTAGTACACACAGATGTGTGTGGTCCTATAAAGCCTATGTCGACTGGACAAAATAGGTACTTCCTCACTTTCATTGATGATTTTAGCAGAAAGACTTGGGTATATTTTCTGAAGAGGAAGTCAAAAGTGTTCAATTGTTTTAAAGATTTTAAAGCAATTGTTGAGAAGCAAAGTGGCTATAAGATCAGAACCGTGAGATCTGATCAAGGTGGAGAATATACAGCAAATGACTTTGAAGCCTTTTGTACACAACAAGGCATCAGACATCAAACAACACCAGCTTATACACCACAGCTGAATGGTGTAGCTAAAAGAAAGAATCGAACAATTCTTGATATGGCAAGAAGTATACTCAAAGAAAAGAAGTTGCCCAAGCAATACTGGGCTGAAGTTGTATCATGTGCAGTATATTTGTTGAACCGTTGCCCAACCAGAAGTTTGCAAGCTGTCACTCCACAAGAAGCATGGAGTGGTCACAAACCAAGTGTTACTCATCTTCGAGTCTTTGGTTATGTGGCATATGCAAAGATCCCATATGCAAGAAGGACCAAACTTGATGATAAAAGTGAGAAATGCATCTTTGTCGGATATGGTGAGAGAAGAATGGGATACAAGCTGTATAATCCCATCACCAAGAAGGTAATTATGAGCAAAGATGTTATCTTTGAAGAAGATAAAACTTGGCAATGGAATGATGACCAAGAAGCAGTTAAATGGATCAACACTGATTTGATCCTTGAAGATGAAGAAGTACCAACAGTACTTGCAGAAGGTCCAATAGTACCAGAAGATGAGCCACAAAGTCTGGTACACAGATTTCCTGTATTCAACAGGAGAAACATGCCAGAATCATCATTAATACCATCATCAGCAGCATCTTCATCAAAAGGACCAAGAAGGATGAGAAATTTAGAAGAGCTGTATGACGCCACTCAAGTAATGGAAGATACAACTCTATTTTGTTTCTTTGCAGATAGTGACCCACTTAGCTTCAATGAAGCTATCACAGAAGAGAAGTGGATAAAAGCAATGGATGAAGAAATACATGCCATTGAGAAGAATGATACCTGGAAGCTGACTTATCTACCAGAAAACAAGAAAGCAATAGGTGTCAAATTGGTCTATAAGACAAAGAAGAATGCAAAAGAAGAAGTGCAAAAATACAAAGCCATTGAAGGGAGAAACATTTATCAGAATGAAGTTCATGTTTGGCATGACATCCCTCGATTGAGTTTAAGGGGGATATTTGTTGAAGTAAACTCAATCCAGAAGGTCAAGGAAAGCAGCCACCAGCTGTCACCGCCCAACCACCAGCCGCCAGCCGCTTTCACACCGTCGGCTACAAACCGCCTTCACACTTGAAGGTTGAATTTTCTTGTTTTGATTTCGTGTATAAATAGATAGCTAAGCTTATGCAATTATGTGTGGAGAGATTGAGAGAAACACTAGAGAGAAAGAGAGAAAGAAAGAGGGGTTGTTATTGTAAGGTTTTCATTATTGTAAGCTTCTTGTTCTTGAAATAAAAAAATGTGTTTTATCCCCTCCAATTGTTTCAAAGTCACCATAAGTGATTTCTCCCACCAACAGCGCATACATGTAAATACTTGTGTAGGAGCATCCAGCATTCTTAATAGATGCCCGTAGAGAATCTTTGCTTAAATATAGTTGACAGCCTCCCGTGTTGTAAACTGAAATTGTTGGAGCAGAACCCTAGAGTTGTTGGAAATAAAACACACAATTATTTGTATGAACCTTTCAGTCTTTATTGATTAATTTGTTCTTTCAACTACGCACTTATTATTCTCAATATATTAACCTTTATATTTACAAATAATATAACTAGATTCTAATAAACTAGTCTAATACAAATTTTATTTTACAAAAAATCCTTATTTAAACTAGAATTTTTATTTAACAATTTCTCCCTTAAAATGATGTTAATTAACATTACAACATTTTCTTCTTGAATGCATACACCAACTTTTATAAATAATTTCAATTTAAGAAATAGATCAACAACTTGATTTTTTTACTTTCACAGTAAATAATCTCAATGGTTCCATTCTTCAAAAAATATTTTAAGAAGTGAAACTTCAAATAGTAATATGTTGTTATTTTCTCATAAAAAAAGAAGCAAGGTACATGATTGTGCAAGTTGACGAGAAGTTTGGTGGAAATTGGGGTTGAATAGGTCCTCCCATTCGTAACGGATACTGGTCAATACATTAGGTCGAGGGCATCCATTAATTTAATGCAGCTTTTGTTTATTGATATTTTGAAGAAAAGAGAGGGATAATTTAATACCTATTTCATACCTTTGATTTAATACGACAGGCATAGTTTTGAAACTCTGATCGGGCAGTAGGTTAATTCCGACCCGATCTTCGTTCATGCAAAGTTATTGTTCCAAATCTTTAATTAAAGTGCAAGATGATAAAGAATGAATTGAACCAATCTGGTTTTTTATCCTTAAAGATAAACTTGTTTTTTATGGTGCAAATACCCAGAAAATATTATATAATTGCATTGTTTAAGCACTTCACTGGAACTTGATTTTATAAGTTTAATTTACAGGCTCATCTTAATCCCGGTATGAGTAGCATCGTAGTTGGAGATGTATCTATTTTGTGAGGGTTAGTTATACTTTTGTTAATGTTAAAAATGGATGTAAACATAAACTAATGTTGCTATATTAATGCTTTTGGAATGCTACATGCATGTAGAATACTATTAACTTGGTTATCAACTATTTTAAGACTTATACTTAGGTATTTTAAATATTTTTTTCATTATAATTTCTATGTTAGTATTTATCAAATCATTAACTTTGAAGTTTTGCTCATCTCATGAATGAGTTATATATAAAATGTAATTCCATATAATTATATAAATATGAATCAAAAAGTGATGATGTTAATAAATTTTGTTATTGATTGAATTGTTGGGATCTAGGATAGTTGAATTATTATGAGAATATTTATTTTGAAGCATACAAGTTAATCAATAAATTGGAATGTTATAAATACATAGAAAATTTTGTCAAAATCTCGATAAAAACAAAATTTTAGGCTTTTGTTGTAATTACAATATATATTTTAAATATATGTGAGTCGATGTAAAGTAAACGATATTGCCTTTTATTAAGTATATGATTAATCTACCACCACTTTTTAACACCAAAATATAGACTTATAGAGCATATGGTTGTTTTAGACTTGCAAGACTGATGGCGTCTGAGGCACCTTCGATGAATTTCAAGAGTGGACAGCGCATAAGCATTCAAGTATCCAAGGCATCAGCAGCAGCTATGAAATTCAGTGTGCTTGATAATGACGATGACATGCTGCGTGCTATCAGCATGGCATTGGGAGTTGCTGAATTGGCTATCTGCTAAGAAATCATTACCAAAGTTATTTAAGTTCGAAATCTTGAAGTCATTACTGTATGGTCTTTCTATACGCTTGTTTTGGGACAATATTTTCTATCACATTGGGCTCCACATTGATATGCTGTGTTCAGTATCTTGAAACATCTCAAGCTTTATTATGTAGAGCAGTAACATCAAAGTGGTAGCTAGAACAGCAACAGAGGGGAGCCCAAGAGAGATTGACCCAGTCCAAGGCTAGTTAAGTTTTACAAAATAATCGGCACAATTATCAATGTTTACAGTGACCTCAAATAATCTGAGATCATTAGTGGTAAAGGAACTTAACTATCAAATTCATGACTAATAATAGAACATGAAACATGCACTGCTTACCTTTTGACTTGTAAGATGATAAGAAGTTTGACACTAACACATTTGTTTTCTACTAAAAATTATAAAATAGAAAACTTGTTCGAGATGTGATGATATTTTAAAATATAATATTTCAAGAAATGATGTTATTTAATATTTGGATAGCTAGTAATTATATGTTCAAATCAATATTTTTTATTTTGAAGCACTTCCTAGTTGTTGGTAAAAAAACATAATACTTGCAAAATTGTCCCTTTTAAAGGGATTTAAAAATCACTAGATGATAAAGTCAATGACATTTTAGTAAAGGATTATAATAAATGAGAGAATGAATTATAAATTTTGAGAACAAATGTGTTCTTGTTTTTATATGATAAATATTCTGAGAATGAAAGTATAAATACTTAAAGAATATAAAGCGAGAATCTTTTACTCAAGTAGTTTTTGGGTATTTATAATCTTCAAACCTTGTTGTTTTGATGAAGTGTAAGGGTTAGAAGATTTTTTTTTCTCTTGATGGCATTGATGAGGGATAAATATCCCCTACACAACATTAATAAGGGATAAATATCTCTTATACATCATTAATGAGAGAAAAAAATAGAAGGTCATTGGAAAATTCTTTCTAAACCTATAGGTGTAAAGAGAAGGATATCCCTAACATGAACATTTCATGTTAAAAGTCTTAAGAATACATAAATAGAGCCTTATAACTCTAATGACATAACCAGAAGATTAATGTCTTCTCTTAAGTGTAGGAGTGTTAAAATAATAAATAACACGACAAGATTGAGGTAGGATAATAATAATGACAATAATTATGATGATGATGATGATGATGATAAGTTAAATAGAACTTTGAGATGTAAGATTAATGTGAAGATTAAACAATGATAAAAATTACTTAGATAATTTTTTAGATTATCTACATTCATTCATCACGATCCGAAGCAAGCACAGCTGCCATGATAAATAAAGAAATATACAGTTCCGTTGTCCTCATTGAGATAGACTTCGCAAATTTGTGCAACTGATCATTTATCAGTCCCAAATGCCAAATGCCAAAAAAAAAGAGATTCAGATCATAAGACTTTTCCATTATCAAATGTACCCCACATTTTTCTACCCAACATCTTGGAACATCATAGAAGCTTATTTTGACATTCAGTTCCAATTCCTCTACACCTTGCAGCAATTCCTCTGACCCGATCAATGATATACGCTGTATCCAAGAATGCTTAGTGGAATTTCTGTCAAACGTAACTGCCGCCATCGTCTCAAACAATTCAATACCATTGCTCTTATTTTTGAATGTAGCAACACACATATCAAACTGAAGAAATGATGTTTCTTGATCAGTGGCTTCATTGCTACTGGAGGCCGAGACAACCCAAAGAAGCAGCGCTTGGAGTTTATTACCATCTGCAACTGAAACTGAGGGTAAACGAAATGATAATGATGACCCATCACCGCGATGGCTGAACCATTCTGGTATCTCTCCACCAGCAAGGCAAATGTCATAATGTTTACCTTTGCATAATCCCTACATATTGGTTTCAAGGTAAGCAATTAAAATTTGAGTTCTTAAAACTACGATATTTACATGCTAAATGTTTGTGTTCAAGCAATTAAGTGAAGACACAGAGAAGGAGAGACAACCTGAATAAAACTCATCTTATAGTTTTCAGATAAATTGTTGCAGTCATTTAAGTTCAAAATGGACCAGTTATTGCCCGCACATTCAATGCCCTGAATCTCTATTAAATTTCGGCACCCTTTTACATCCAGTAATGGTAGTCTTTCGGGCTGAAGAGGCGCGCTTACTCTTTCAATGGATGTGCAGTCATTGATAGACAAGAACAGGACACTTGATGGAAGCTCTGAGATTGATAGAAGATTCGAGCATCTCTCAACCGTCAAAAATTGAAGCTTAGAAAGGCGGCTAATGCTGGAAGGCAGATTGAAGAATTCATGTCCAGACAAATTCAAATTTTCAAGAAAGCACAAACTCCCAAGATCGATCGCACTTGTAGCTTCAGACAAACCAGAATAACTTAGATTTAGTTCTTTCAATGAGCTGAAACTATTGAAAGAAGCTGGTAGCACATCTATGGAGCTCGAGCAGCTTTGTGGTGAAAGCCACGATGAAAATCTTGAAAACCAAGATTTAGATGGTAGATCAGGTGAGTAGTTGTATCCACCAAATGATAACTTTGTCAGCTTCTTCAAATATCTAGCTGATGGAGGAAGTTGCTTAATCGCAGTACCCTTTGTAAACAACTCTGTTAAGGATTCTATGTCACCCAAACTCTCTGGCAATTTCTCAAGTTGTATGCACTTAGTAACGTTCAGAGTTTGAAGAGATTTTAAGTTACCCATGCTTTCTGGAAGAGTCTTTAGGCTGCGACAGTAATGCACTTAGTAACGTTCAGAGTTTGAAGAGATTTTAAGTTACCCATGCTTTCTGGAAGAGTCTTTAGGCTGTCACACACCTCCAAGTTCAACAAAACAAGGCTCTTCAAATTTCCAATAGATTGATGTACCTCAACCAAACTCTGGCATTCTGTAAGTACTAGTCTCTCCAAACTAGAGAGTCCCCGGAAGTTCGGCGTTTTAGTAAGGTACATGGAATAGCTGAGATTGAGGATTTTCAGCTTGTTAAGAATCTGTCAAGGCAATGAGAAAATAAGAGAAAAAAATGTAACTCTAAATTAAATTTCATTAGGAAATATTTTGAGTGCCTATTGGTTATATTTTACCTTAGTCCCCTTCCAAAGCTTTCGTACGTTACTTTCTTGCATATCAAGTATAACAAGGTCGTTTAAGTGAAAATCAGACGGCAAAGATTTCAAAGGGCATCCAGACCAACAAAGCCATATCAACTCTTTGGGGAGAAGACTGTAGCTTCCCACAAGATTTGCTCTTTTGATTTGGAGTAATTTTAAACGTCTCATTTTTGTAAAAGATTTTGTGCTAAAAGATTCTTGAACATCCAGTGCCAGACCCTCCACAGCATCCGTTCCCTGAAAATAGCCAAATAAGGATTAAAATATCATGACAAAAATCATGCATATTCTTTGAATGAGAATGTTTATACCAATTTCAGGTAAGAACCCACGACCACCTAGCATTTCTGTTGCTTATTCTTCTTCTTTTTTTAAATAAAAAAAGAAAGATAAAATAACGGAGATGTTTATTGATAGAATCAGTTTACTATGAAGAAGATGATGAGCATTAACAAGCTCATATACGCAACAACACTTCACTTATTAGACCTTGATTGAAAAACCTCTAATTAAATCATTCTTTATTTATGCAAAGTTATTGTTCCAAATCTTTAATTAAAGTGCAAGATGATAAAGAATGAATTGAAACTATGCATTGTTTAAGCACTTCACTGAAACTTGTGTTTGGCCATATTTTTGTTCTAATTATAAGAATTGTTGTTATATTTTTATCTGTTTGCTGTGAAATATTGTATATTCATGTGTGATCCTAAGTTGATGTATTATATTGTTGTAATATATATGACTGTACGCATAAAAACTGATTTAGTACGTATTGGAAAATTATTAACTCATTTATGTAAAATCCCATAAGGAGCAATATTGCACTTTCCAACACAACTAGTTCCTTAAAATTGCAGTAAGGTTTGACAAGAAAATAAGATAAATGAGTTCTTACCATTTCCTTGGAGAGTACATTGTATGCGTCTTTGGGAAGTACAATTCTGCTGCAATTTCCAGGATGATTACGCGACCTTTGACGAATAATCTCCCTTCCCATCTTTCGTAATATATCATGCATACTCAACATATTCCAAGTGTCGATTGTTATGAGAGACCTTCCAATGAGAGTTCTGAAAGCTACTTCTGGATGGCAATCATAACGAGCACCTACTATATTTGCTACATATTCTTTGTCTCCACCAACAAAATAGCACGCAATATCAAGGAATATCTCGCTTGTATCCACATTCAGTGCATCAAAACTTACTCTAAGCTTTCCTTGAATATCATCATGCGGAATATTTCGCCAATGGGCAATATCGGCTTCCCATCCAGCTTTGTCTCTTATAGATAAATGAGAACCCAAGATTTGTAGAGCCAAAGGAAGTCCTTTGCAGTAGTCAACTACCTTTCCTGAAAGCTCCTCATAATCCTTTGCTGGACGGGTTTCCCTAAAAGCATGCAAACTGAAAAGCTCAAGAGACTGATCTCGATCCAATTCTTTAGCATGATACATTCCATCTACCCCCGCTTCTGTTAGCAGATGACTGATCTCGATCCAATTCCTTAGCATGATACATTCCATCTACCCCCACTTCTGTTAGCAGATGCTTATTCTTAGTTACAACAATTATTATACTTCCGGCACCAAACCAACATCTTTCTCCCATCAATGCCTCCAGTTGTTCCCTTTTGTCCACATCGTCAAAAACAACAAGGATTTTCTTACGATGAAGTCGTTCTTTGATCAAATTCATGCCTTCATAAACATTACTGACCTTCCAAACTCTTGGTTTCAGAATATCATGAAGAAGGCGCTCTTGTAATTCAACCAGACCATTCGGCTTATCTGATATTTCCTTGACGTCCGAAAGAAAACTGCTTCCCTCAAATCCAAAATAAAGTTTGTTAAACACAGCTTTTGCTATTGTTGTCTTGCCTATTCCAGCTATCCCATGTATTCCCACGATGCCAACATCAGGTTTTGCACCTTTTAGCAAAGAAATAATACCCTGAACTCTGGAATAAATACCTACTGGGTGCTTGGCTACGTGCAAGGTTTTGTTTCCCAGTTTACAAGCTACATCACTGACAATCCTTTTGATGAATTCCGCTTCATATCTGTTCATAGAGAAAGAAAGACAACAATGGCGTACAAGTTGTTAGATATTAATCCAGAATTTTCAAGCCCATGCCTCTCTAGAACTATCAAGGAAGTGCATCTTGAAAATCTAGGTCATCTATCTGATCTAGAATTCTCTTAAAAAAAGATCAAGTCATCCTTTCTTGTAAATGATATTCTAGTAGAAGTCTCAAGGCTGTCAAACAGACCTAGCAGCCCATATATACATGTAAAAAGTTGGTGCAGTGTGTGAGAAGAGAAAGAGTGGCGTCAGTGAGTAGATATTTAAGTTGTGTGCGCGGTGAGCGGGTGATGTGAGCTTTATCATTAACAGAGAGCGTCTAGTGTGTAATTGTGTCATACACATTCGTTGGTGTCCAAGCACCAATATTTTGTACAGAATTCTTTTATTGAATACAATAAAGTTATTCTGTTTATCAATATTTACCAGAGCTTTTGCCCAGAATTTTATATCCTACATTAGTAAATACTAGATAGTTAGCCAATGCTACCAAGCAGATTCAACCAAAATTTTGAATGCAAATTTGCAATGCATCCCCTGACAAACTGCCATGAAAAACTGATGCCTTTTAATTTTTATTTAATTAATAAATAATGCCTAATCCTTTGAATCTTCCAACAATACTTTCACTTTTTGCAATACTTTCCCGGAAAAGGTAATCCTCTTGAGTCTTGTTGGATTTATCGATCGAGTTCTATTATTATATAATTTAGTAAAGTTGAATATTCATGTTCATAAATGAGCATAGATACATGTATCTAGCAATAACTTTTTAAAAAAGCTTTTTTATCGTGTGCGTGTCTATATATGTATGTATGTATGGATGGATGGATGGATGGATGGAAAGCAAGTAGCCACCTAAAGTACATGTATTTATGTTTATGGTGGGAGACTAATAATTTTTGTTCTAGAACAGTAGAAAAAAGTAGTGTTTACACATCTAGCACTCAGAGGAAAGGTTACGCATATTAATGATTATTGAAAAAAATGAACTTATTAAATTTTCTAAGCTTCTAGTTTGAAAATCATTTTCACAACTCAGACTGGAAAAACCGTAGATATTTGCTACTTCTACATGTTGCAATTAGAAAATAATATTTAATTAAAGTAGAAATATCAAGCTCAAATTGATAACAATAAAGAAATTGTTTATGTTGATATGTGCTAGTGGATTTTGACAGAGAAGACAAAGATATACCCATTTGCCTCATTGTTTAAACCAAATCCAGATAGATTTCCAGCCTGTGCAAGAGCACCTCTCCATTTGTTGACCTTCTCCATTTCTTCCTTGAAGCGTTCTTCAAGTTCATCAAAAGCTTTTGCATAACTCCCGGTCTGTTTTCGGACATCTGAAGGCTCCGTATCATAGAATATAGGAAGAACAACCTGGTCAATATTTTGCTTGCACTCAATAATCTTCACCAGTTCGTCAAGACACCATCTAGAGGAGGCGTAGTTTTTGGAGAAGACCACTATAGAAATCCTTGATCCTTCAATTGCCTTGAGAAGCTGTGGAGAGATTTCTTCTCCTCTAGGAAGTTCATTGTCATCCCTGAAAGTATGAATTCCGGCCTGGATTAAGGCGGTATAGAGATGATCCGTAAAGTTCTTGCGGGTATCTTTTCCTCTAAAACTTAGAAAAACATCATAGTTCCATCTATGTCTAGAGGATGAAGACGAAGAAGAGAACGGAGACTCAGAGTCCGTGGAAGCCATAGCTGGGACAGTTTTATCAATCTCTATAGCAAATTGAAAAGGTGAGTTGAAGAGGATGCAGCAGAGTGACGTTAATTTGCTTGTTATTTTCTCACAAATTTGAAGTCCTTTACAAAGATGATACATATAAATACTTGTGGAAGTTGATGGGAAGTTCAGCGGAAAGTGGGGTCGAGTGGGTCAGTGGAGCTGTGTTTGTCCCATAGCCCTTGGCTATAGAGATTCCCATGTTAAGATAAGTAAAAACTTATTTTAACTAGTTAATTAAAAAATATTACCACATTTATGTTCCAAATAAAAAGTCATGAATATTTTTTTTATTTTTAAAATTATTACTCATATAAAATAAATAACAAATCAAATCTTTGTGAATTAAAAATATGTTTCATTTTTTGTTTCAAAAATATTTTTGAAAAAATTAATTTTTATTTTATTTTTTTGGTTTCAAATTAATTTTCTTATATTTTTAGATTATTTTGATTTATTAATATTAAAAATTAAAAAAAAAATCATTTCATATATAATTACATTCGAGCTAATAAGTTAGATGAAAAGTTTAGCTTAGTGAACATAATCTCTCGGAATACCTTTCACGTCAGACGGTGGTCCGTTGGGTAAAGTCAAAGGAGGGACTCTCCCTCCCTGATTCTCAACTGCAGTCTTTCATCGTTTGTTTATGTAGCGGTGGCTATGTTTAAAATATATTAAATAATAATTTTTAATTAAAAATATATTTAAATAATAATTCTTAGATTATTTTAATAATTAATATTAACATATTAAAAGAAACTTGTTTTTTATGGTCCAGTTCCCAGCCCCAAACCTTTTTCAAAGCTGTATTACTATATTAATTGTTATATGGGGCGGCATCACATGGGCCTCACGTGGGTGCAAATAAATCTAGTAAAAATATTATTTTTTTATTATTAAAATTTAGGTAGTTTAATGAAAATCTTGTGCATAACCTTTATTAACAAAACTCAAGAAGCTTGTTACTTGAAAGAAATTTAAAATTAAAAATAATTTTAATAATGAATTAAATGATATTTTTATGTAATATTGAAATAAAAAAACATTTGATACACTTTTATCAATCTATGTCTAGAGGATGAAAACGAAGAAGAGAACGGAGACTCAGAGCACATGGAAGCCATAGCTGGGACAGTTTTATAGTTTGTTTTAGATTGTGTCAAATTGTATTTATTTGTAAATTGTTAAAACTTTATTTGAATTACATGAAATTAGATATGTTGTGATGAAATAAATAATAGCTTGTTTATCGAGTCCATTTTAATTTTTATTAATTCTATTGCAAATTATGATTTCTGTAAATTTATATTTGTATACATTTATATAGATGTTGATAATTGATAATGAATATTCAACATACATGTTTTTTTTTAGTTTGTTGAATAATATTGAGGCAAATCAATATTTTTATAAATTTATTTATATAACACAGTTAATTAATACATGTTGTCATCATAATTTTATAGAGGTTTGATAGAAGTCATGGATGATCATTCTTGGATGTATCGAGACTCACCCCAAGGATTGAGAAGGATAAATTATTATAACGGTGTTCAGGGTATTTTATTAATTTCATAATATTTATTCTGATGAATTTTACTGATGATGGTATTAAGTGTTCATGCAAGAAGTATAAAAGTAAAAAGTTTCTACATCAAGATATTGTAACGATACATCTTCTAACCAAAGGGTTCACAAAGAATTGCCTATGTTAGTATGCATATGAAGAACTATTTGTTTTTATTGAGAACATAGTAGAAAGGGTGGTTGGGTCAACTTCTAGTAGTAGCAATATGCATATAGTTGGAAATGACAACAATAATCCTTATAGGAATATGATTATGGATGCAATGAGAATGAGTGAAGGTAATATCAGTGAATGCCTAATTATAGAAGAAGAACTTAATGCAGATGCTGCAAGGTTTTTTGATCTGTTGAAGGATTCTGATAAACCATTATAGGATGACTGAACGAACCATAGTAAATTATCAGCTGAAACACAAGTGTTCACTATTAAGTCAAATCACGGGTTGAGTAAGACCGATTATAATAAAATTATAGAATAAGCGAGAAGCATTTTACTTGAAGGGAATAGACTGAAAGAGAAATTTTATGCTACAAATCCATGATGAAACCCCTCGGTTGAGGATACTAGAAAATTGACATATGCCATAATTTTTGCATGTTATGGTACTTTGAAAATGCTGAGTTGATCGAGTGCATGACATGTAGACATTCTCATTACAAATCTAGAATTGACAAGAAAAGGACTCTCGTGGCATATAAAAAATTTAAATATTTTCCAATCATATTTAGACTTCAAAAGTTATTTATGTCATCGAGAACTGTTGATCACATGACATGACACCGATTACATCATGCTCTTGATGGAGTGGTGATGTATTCTTTTAATGGTGAAGCATGGAAACACTTTAAGAGGTATGTTCTTGTTATAATTTATAAATTATGATATAATTTATGAATTATGATAGTTGAGTTTGAATTTCATTAAAGAAATATAAGTTTTTATGTTAAGTAATCTATTTTCAACTTTATATATTACCCTTATATTTCTTTATTCAACATGGAATTCTTATTTCCACACCTCCTTTACTATTCTACAAAAACAAAAAACATATAGAAAAACACCCCCACTGCTTGCAACCTATTAAATTCGATATAATTAAAAACGACTTCCAATTGCATCGAATCAAGTTAACGTATATGGTCTTTAATTAATATATTTAGTGTAGTTGAGCCCATTAGTGTTGCAGTAATCTCCTGTCTACATGCAATTATTCCACGCAAAAGATCAATTATTATTAAGAAATATTAAAAATTATATTAGTGGGGCCAATTACAATAAAATCTCTTAATTAAGTAACATGTATACTAATGGGGTAACTACAATAAAACATCTTAATTAAAGACCATATGTATCAACTTGCTCAAATGCAATAGGATTTTATTTTTCCATGTCGGTTGATAGAAAGTTATTTCGCAATTTTTCTAACAACCCAACTTGTCTGAAACTCATGCAATAATCTTATTGACAAAACAGATTATCCAGGAAACTCATCCTTAATTCCCACCTAGCCTGCTATTGAAAGGATTAACCCCACCAAAAGTTGAAATGTTCATATGGTTCAAGGGAAAGTTAATACAAAGGAATTTTTCGCTCATAGGAACAATAATTCCGCTAGAGGAAGCTCATCGTCCCTTTTGTGAAGTAAACAATGAATCAGTACCCCATCTTTTCCTCTACTGCTCCGATGTATGGAAATGTTGGTGCAGATTTATTAAATGGTTGGATTTTCAGTGGTGTATACCGAGTACTATTGCAGACCTACTTCTTGATTGGAATTATTTGTGTAAAGGAAAATTCCAACGCAAAGCCATTTTAAGATTGGTTTTTGGTGTATTATGGGTATTTGGTTAGCTAAAAACAAGAGGGTGTTCGTGGGAGATTCTTGTGATTGTGATACTGTCTTTGAGCTGGTTCTTCATCGCTTGACAGTATTTTAGCTGAAAACATTCGAAGGAAACTTCCATTAGACAGCAATGGACTTGCTCAGAAGCTCCGATGAGATCTTCCTTTGGTCAAATCAGTAAGGCATTGAAGTTTTGTTCATTATATGCTTGCTCAGTCTATTTTTGTTTTTCTATTTTGCCTCCGTTTCCATTTTTGTTTGGAACCCCTGTATTCTTCTTTTGCTTGCTAGTTTGGTCACTATTATCTTTATGGCACTAACAAATACTAATAATATCTTCTCGTGTGTGTGTGTATAAAACCCTACTTGTCTGAAGCAATTGCAAGACCCTTGCATAAATCATTTGTTACGCAACGTCAAGACCATTGAATAAATCAATTTTTTTTTATAAGCAATAGAATGCATGAAAACACCTAATAATAGGTATGCAAGAGAACCAGAATACATATGCAGAAACCAAGGATCTGCAGAGGACAGAGAACCAACTGACTTATAACCAAGAAATACAAGAACACTGAAAAAACAAAAATAAAAACCATGCCATTATTTCTTCAGTGCTAGAAAACTCCTTTTTTTTTTTTTTTTTTAGATTAACGTGGGTGTCCGGGCTAGCTTACGCGCACCACGACTAATCCCACGGACCCTGAAGTTAACGACCATGTAAGTCTCCAGTGGCCATCATATGAGCAACCAAGAACTCGAACCTGAGACCACAAATGGAGCAAACCCCTTGATCCCAAGTCCTTACCACTTGGCCATCACCTAAATGGTTTAGAAAACTCCTCTTTAGTAGTATCGTTAAAGATCGCATTAGTAGCTCCTGAAAAGACAAAAAGTCCTGCCAATATATCCTCCTGAGTTCCTTAAAACATCCAACTTTATAAGAAAACTTTTGTATCATATCATAATTCCTGTTGCATCTCTCTGTGCATCCATAATGATAGATCTGCATTGAACCTTCAGCAGCACTTTCATAGCATATACATACTTCAAATGTCTAAAAGCTTGATAAATCATGAAGTAATAGATAAGTTGAAATTAAATGGTCACCTTCAAAACCTATTAAAATAGGACGTGAAGATAAAGTTAGCATGACAAAGTTGAGGCAAAGGTTGCCGGTGCAGTTTAATGTTATTTGTTACACTCTTCATGTTTTTGTTATCAAATATGATGTTGAATTTGAATTTTATCTAAAAAAACTTAATTTTTTGTAATGAATGATTCGTTATCAACTTTATACGTTATTTTTTAATTCAATATAAAATTAGTAGTTTTAACATTTGATACAATAAAAAATGACTTCGAATGCATATGATCAAGTTGATATATATGGTCTTTAATTAAGATATGTGCTTCACAGTAGTTTACCCCATTAGTCTTGCAGTAATCTCGCACCGATGTGATCAAGTTGAGAAAGCAAGACGCAAGTTGTGCACGGTGTCCACATGTGGCGAGCAGTGCCAATTGGGCTCTGTTGACTGGAGTTGTCGTCCATCAATATGTAAGTTTTCTGATAGAATAATTCCAAGAATATAAAAGATTGAGAATAGACTACCAATCACAAGGTTTAATCTTGAATGGAAACTAGACTCAACTACCTCAAAGGCCGCCAGGCATTTTATTACGAGGATATATACAGCAACTCTTGTCTTGTGTCCTTCTCTAAGCTTTTTTGCTGCGCACTTTTCTCACGATCACATGCCTGCTCTCGGCACTAATGAGTATCCGTGTAATGTGATAAGTTGCTTTTTAAAAGTAGTTGTTAATTAAAAATATATTCAAATAATAATTCTTATATTTTTTTAATAATTAATATTAACATATTACAAAAAAAACTTGTTTTTTATGCTCCAGTTCCCATCCCCAAACCTTGTTTTGTTTTTTATTGCTTTGTTAATTGTTATATGGGGTGGCATCATATGGGCCTCACGTGGGTGCAAATAAATCTAGTCAAAATATTGTTTTAGTGACAAAACTCAAGAAGTTTGTGACTTGCAACAAGTTTAAAATTAAAAATAATTTTAATAATAAATTAAATGATATTTTTATATAATATCAAGATAAAAAAACATTTGATATACATGGATTAAGTTAGGCTGATATGTGAAACTCACATTTATAACCTTTAAAAAAAATTAAAAACTAAGTTTAATCTTAAATTAAATTAATAATGGAGAATGAAATTAATAAACAATAATATTTAATTAAAAAAATAAAGTGAATTTGAGTGAACCGCAAACTCATGACAAAAATCATGCATGTTATTAGATGATTTAGTTTTTCAATTATGATTAGTAAATGAACTATTATTTTGTGTTTTTTTTAATATATATTCAAATCAAGAACTTGCAGTAAAATAAAGGAAATAATTATAAGCAAAAGGAAATTGAAAACTGAAATGCATAATTTTCATTGTAAATCCTATGTTTTGATGAGCAAGGAGAGTGTAATATTGTAAGTATCTAAAAAATTGAGTTTCGCTACATGATTGGTGTGTTTTCCAACTCACTAGAATTTATATATGAGATTATAATTTTATTTACAAGAATAAAAAAATAAAAA